CTCCCTTCCCTTCCCTTCCCTTCCCTTCCCTTCCTTTTCCTTCTATTTATTTATTTATTTTTACATTATTTATAGTCCACCATTCTCCCTTGGACTCAAGGCAGATTACAGAGTCAGTCAAGACAATCAACAGATGGGACATCCAGTTAAAAATGCCATAGGATTAGGGTTGTACAGCCAACCAAAGTCTCCCCTTCAGCTTTGCTTTCCCCTCCCTAATCTTCATCCTGCTTCCTGCAGCCCTTTCTTTCCCCTCACCCCGAGTCATCTTAAATTTTGAAATGAAATTGTGGCAGTCATTTTGGATTACTTAGGCAAACCACAGAGAGCATTGGGGGTGATGTCTGCAGTTGCCTAGGCAATCCAAAATGATTTCCGAGAGCTTGCGAAATAATCTTGCAAAGATATTGGCATTTCAGAACTTTTTTCTCTCTTTTTTAAAAATAGAATATTCTACTGCCAGGTTTGCAGAAACATCTGTACATGGCTCTATCATGTGTATTTTTATCTGTATTCTGGGGCCAAGTTCAGAATTAGTTATGGGATTAATACTACTTTACAATAATATTTACTCCCATTGTAAATTTACTGTTTTTATAACACATCAGGCCCGTTTGGAAGTGCACCGGTTTGGAATCACTGGATTTGAGAAGAAAGAACAGCGGGTTATGGAACAAGAACGTGCCATTATGTTGGGGGCGAAGGTATTGTATTAAGGAGTGTCATGCAAAGGAACAAAGAGAACATTGTTTTTCTGTATCATGACTTAGGGTAGAATTGCACATTCAAGCAGCAGATGTATCTGGATACAAGTCACTATCAAGCAGCAGCAAATGATAGTGGTAATTTTCCATGGCAGTAGGTTGGAGGTGGGGGCTGAAAGGTTCCTCTGCCTGCCCCTCCCCTCTCTCAAGTGAACTTATTTCTATCCCTAGAACCCACCCTGCAGAAAGTGGTGGGAGGGGGAGTTTCGTATGGGGGGGAGAATAATACCTCATATACCTACCTCACAGGGTTGTTGTGAGGATAAAATGGAGGAAAGGAGAACAACGTAAGCTGCTCTGAGTCCCCATTGGGGAGAAAGGTGTGGTATAAATGAAGTAAATGAATGCAATTTTTCTGCTGGAGATTGCTTCCCATCCTGGCACGTGTTTAACAGCAACCAATACTTGAAAGCATGAGCTTGCCAGGACTCAAGACTATTCTACTTAGGTGGAATATTTCAGTGGCGAAGAGAAAGCACTCTGAGACTTCTGTATCTTTTGCTTCATGTATACACTGAGCCCTGGTATTCAAAGCAGATTTCAGGACTCCACCCTGTTCAGTCTGTGGAGTCTTGGTTCTGTTGAATTTGCAGTACCCGCAAAATACTTACTTCTAAATGTGAAATGAAAAGTCTTTGTATTTCTGACAATGGAGATCCCATCTGACTTTTGTCATTCTAGTCCTATTGATTCAGTCGAAGTGGTTTGAAAACTGCAAATCAGTGTGCAAGGGAATATTTGAACTACAAGGTTCTCCAAGAAAAGCTCAAGGAAAAGAAAGCAATCAAGAAAGAAGAAAACACAGTGGTGTGTATGAAATATGTTCTGTAAAATGGAAAGTCCAACAATTCCTTAGAGAAAAATTCATAAGGCAGGATGGAGATTGGATTATCACTGATACTGCAGTTTCTTACTTGAGCGCAGGTAGCTAGTTTGCCTGGGCTGTGCACAATACCTAGCATAGAGGCTAATCAATCCCTGATCGTATTCGAAGCTAAATTTTCTTGCATTGTGCAGCTATACAATATTCTTATTTGTTAACAGGAAAATAAATCTGATTCTCTCAAGAGGAGGAAGAAAAAAGGGCAGGTGGCCAGGTGAGCTAATATGTACATAACCTTACTTCAGTGAGTAGTAACAAGCTGGATCTATTTTTGGGTTTTCTGACAAAAACTTTTGCAGCTAAGGGCTCAAACCGACAAGATAAAGATAACATGTTGTGGTTCATCCTTAAAATGCAACTTGCGGCTAGTGCTGCTTCAGTTTACCTTTGGTGCCTGCAGGGAAAGAAGGAGCTTGCTTTAACTTAAACAACTTAAATGGCACTCGAGGCATTTTGAAATTCAAAATAGCAAAATATTTTATTTAACATAGAGGGGAAAGGTCAGATGAAATCAGGAGTTGAAAAATTCTGAGGTATAAAATTAGTACATGCACAGACTTTAGTTCTTATGTTTCAGGCTAATGAGAGTTTTTTAAGTTTCACAGTGACTTAAATCTTTATGTTGAGAGGCTTTTATTCCAGTATATTCCCCAAACACTCCAGTACACTTTCTTTGAGAATTCTCTGACGCTTTTGGTTTCCAGGAGGCTGGTACACTTTTTCCAGTACCTAAACCCCTTCTCTTGAAACACCAGTACTCATCTTTAGCTTTGAACTGACTCTTAAAGCCAGTTTCTAACTGCACCAGACCAAGGATCTCTGCACTCTTCAGAGCTCATTCCCTGTTTGACTGGGTAAGGAATTTTCTTTTCTCTCTAGATCTATCCCATATGCTTGGCCCGAATGGGAGTCTTCATCTACTTCCCAGACTTTCTTGTCAACTTTCCCCCAGTTCTCCTATTTGTGTTAAGCTGCTCACAGCTAAGGCCAGATTCCAAAACTGTCAGTACTCAGCTCTTCTCGGCTAGAGCTAAAATCAGACTCAACTCCGTCAAGGCAGAAATCTTACTGACTCTTCAGCATGCAGCTCTCAAGTCTTTCTCTGCTCAGCTGATGCTGACCAATCAGATTGCTGGGAGCAGCCTGTCACTCAAGGCCCTCTGTTTCTTTGAAGAATTAACCCTTCACAGTCCTTCGTATGTTTACACAACACTTTTAAAAGTGCAGTCCATCACAGGCAAATATATTTTCCTTTAAAATACTAACAGCCAACCTGGAGAGCCACTTTTGAAGAGTGAAACTGAGCAATAGTTGAATAGTTAAAACCCCTCTTTTTTCTTCTTATGCTCCTGAGGCAAATTGAGGCACCCGCAGTTTGCATTTTAATGAGCAGGCCCAGTTGTGTGCTGTGTGTCTAGCCTATTTGAATCCTCATTTTCAGGCTAGGATCCAAAGCTTCTTAAGGCATGCCCAGAGGCTTTGGAACGCCCAATAAGATTTTTACACAATAGCATAACACAGTTTAATTTTTGGAAGTCCCCAAAGTTCAGAAGTGAATTTTCATGTGATATGTAGACCTGCTGTTTAAGAAACACCAGAACAAAGTCCTTTTGGGTATGTAAAACTAACTGCATAGTTTTTATGAATCCTGGGCTTCAATTTTTTCTTAAAGTCCTGTATACCAAAGCAGAATCACTTTTGAACTCAGTTCTATAGATAATTCTATAAAAAAACTGTAATAATATGTCTTCTACCAATCACTTCTGTTTTCCAAAACATTTAATCGCAGCTCTACTCTTGTATCCTGGTTAAAATATACCTCTTTTAAAGCATCTTTTGGAAAGGCCAGAAATTTTCCCCTCTTCCTAATGCAGTTTTGTTTTCCTTTTAAAAGCAGAAACTCCAAAAAGAAGGTGAAGCCCAGCATTCTGCCGACAGGGCAAGTTGGAAAATTTAAGAATGGGACCCTTATTCTTCGTAGCTGTGACATAAAGAAAATCAAATCTTCCAAACTGATTAAATGACATCACTGAATCATGTTTGCCCAGAAAATGAGATGAATGTACTTTGTAGTCAAAACCCTTTTTAAAAAAAAATATTTAATCTTTGTAAATCTTGATTTCTCATCACCTGCTCTGCTGTGTAGAAAAGTGTGATGATGGAATGTTGTACCACTAACTGAACTAGGAGACATCAACAGTGTTGCTATTCCTATCATCCTGATTAAACAGCTGTCAGTGCTTCCCAAAGGTAATTGTCTGGGTATTCTGCTGTTTATGTAATTTTTAATTGTTTGTTAGTGCACAATCATTAAAAGCATATCCGAAAATTAAATTGGTACTATGTTACCTACATTTCCTAATTCTCTTCTGGTTAACATGTGACTAGAGCATACACTTAAAAGGCCAAGGACACACAGCAGCAGGAAATTGGACCGTGCAAATCCTGGTGATGCTTGTGGGTCTTGACTAGGAAAGAGTTCTGCTGTGGATTGTGCCCCAAATCCAAATCTGTTTTACTTGCCACAGATGTTTGTACTGAAAACAACAATTCTGACACTTCTTGGATTCCCACGAGGCCCCCTTGTCATCCGTTTCTCAGATGTCTGTATAACACATTAGCTTGGATTCACCAGAGCATCTCTGCAGGTAGAAGGATTTCTGCCCAAGGAATATGACTTTCTTGCCGTTCACTTTGGGCTGCAAGAGGATGGGGAAAGGTGAGAAAGTCAGACTCCGCAAGCAGAAATCCTTCTATCTGCAGAAGTGGTGGATTCAAGCCATTTGGTTCCATATTACTCCTGGGAAATCTTCTGGGGTTTTCCATCAAATTAGCAGATATTTAAAACGTCAAAACTCCTATAAAAAAGTATTGAATAAGGAAATTCCAAGCAAACTTTTTTAGAGTCTTCTTTTTTAAAAGCAGAAATATGGAAGGGAGGGGCTGCGGCAGAGCCCGCGCTTTTGCACACAGCTTGCCCTGGCTTCAGTCCCTGGCCTCTTTAGTTAAACGATCTCAGGCAGTTAGCTGATAGTTGACCTTGCATTTGCAAATACGCTTTAGTAATTTTTCTTCTGTGTGACCTTTCCTTATTATTCCAGGGTGTTATGCTATCTTTTCAACTTGTTTATACATGACGTGGAATTAGGGGTGGAGTAGTGATGTGGCCAAGTTTGCAGATGACATCAAATTATTTAGGGTGGTTAAGACAAAAACTGACTGGGAGAATGGGCATTAAAACAGCAAATGAGCTTCAGTGTGAGCAAATATAAAGTGATGCATTTTGAGCCAAAAAATATCCCAACTTCATATATACTCTGAGCTGGCAGTGACAGACCAAGAAAGGGGTCTTGGGGTGGTAGTGGGTAGCTGGATGAAAATGTCAGCCGAGTGTGTAGCTGTTGAGAAAAAGGCAAAGTCCTTGCTGACCGTAATTAGAGCAGGAACAGAGAATAAAACTGCTGCTATCATAGTGCTCTTATACAAATCTGTGGTGAGACCACCCTTGTAGTACTGTGTACAGTTCTGGTCACCACACTTTAAAAAGTCGATTGTAGAGCTTGAAAAGGCACAGAAAGGAGCAGCCAAAATGATTAGGGGGTTAGAGGGGCTGCCCTGTGAGGATCGGTTAAAACACCTCGGGCTGTTTAGCTTTTTAAGAAAAGGGCAAATAAGAATGTATAGTCAGAGGTCTATAAAATTATGCATGGTGTGGATAACACTAGAAAGCTTTTCTCCTTCTCCCATAGTGCTAGAACTTTGGATATCTACTCTCTTCCGTACCGGAGGCAGTATGCCTCTTTATACCAGTTGCTGGGCAGCACAGGTGGGAGGATGCTGCTGCAGTTGTCCTGCTTCTGGGCTTCCTAGAGGCATCTGGTTGGCCCCACTGAGTGAACAGAATGCTGGATGTGATGGGCATTTGGCCTGATCTGGCAAGGCCCTTTTTCAGTGTTCCCTCTAAGCTGTGGAGTCTTGTGAGCAAAAAATCTACTTTGTGAGCTACTGCCATTAAAGTTGTGAGCGAGCAATTTGGCTACTGCATAAATTAGTCTGCTCTGGAGCCATCCTTCCTGGGCTAAGACAAAAATGTGTGACCTGGAGGCTAAAAAACTGTGAGCTAGCTCACACTAAGCTTAGAGGGAACACTGCTCTTTTTATGTTCTTATGAACTATATATTGCAGATACAGTTGGTTGTTATTCTGCCTTTCCTACCTATTAGATCTTGGCTTTGCCTCTTTTGTCCATGAAGATTTTTTCCTCGTTTTTTGGCCCCCTGGCTTGGAATAAGACATTTTCCACTGTTCCCATAATCGCATCCAGAAAAGTCACATGACATTTTATTCTCCAATTCAAATGGATTATACATGGAATCCAATATATCTTGCAGCAGTTTCTGGTCTCTCTTTTGCAAACTATTTGCAAACTATTTATAAATATATTTTATTTCAGCTTCACTTGTTATTTTTGATGAGTTTAGCTAAAATCTGCATTTATGAAAAAGGGTAAAGTTATACGGTAGCACCATTTACTAAAACCTGTGTTGTCTTAAATACCTGTGAGTTGGCCATGGAAACTCATCGACTCTGAATACCTCCTGTTGTTAATGTGGCATTAATGAACTATAGCTAGGAGAAATGCTGGTACTGCATAATTTATATGAATATTTCCTCTGACTCTTCTTAAAAGGACAGGGTATAACTTTTTTTTAAAAAGCAAACAATAGGGTAGACAAGACCAATGTTCCCTCTAAGCTGTGGAGTCTTGTGAGCAAAAATTCTACTTTGTGAGCTACTGGCATTAAAGTTGTGAGCGAGTGATTTGGCTACTGCTTAACCTAGTTTGCTCTGGAGCCATCCTTCCTGAGCCGAGACAAAAATGTGTGAGCTGGAGGCTAAAAAAATGTGAGCTAGCTCACACTAACTCAGCTTAGAGGGAACACTGGACAGGGCTGCCAACCAGCTCCGCTGTTTTGCCATAGCAAAGCAGCCCCTTCCTGGGATTTGTGTGCCAAGACTGGACATCATTCTGTGCTCTTCAGCAAATGTTTGCTCCCTACAAATAAGATTCCTGCCTGAATTTTCAGTGAAAATTGGTTTACAATGGCAAGGTCTAAGGCTAACAGACCTCAGTAAGGATATCTTCCATCCTCCCAACCTCATTCTCCACAGTGAACAAACACTTTCAAATTAGAGGTGTATGGAATATATCATTGGTGCATTCCTGAAATAGTTTGCTTCTGGGCAACAGTACAGAGTGCTAGTCTGTTAAAGATCTAAATGGCTTGATACCAGTGGATTTGCGCCTTCTCCTACATCAACTTGCCTTCTCTATCAATGTGCCTGCCGGCTAAGGTCAATGTACCAAGTCCTGTTCCACATGGAAGGGAAACTATAATAGAAAGAAGAAAATGTGATCAAGAAAATAAACAAACATTAACTATTTGAGGAAAATATTTAAACATTGAGAATAAATGCATTTCTTTCCCTAAATCTAAAGACCTGTGTCCAACATTGAGAAATAAGAGATTCTCACATGAATTAAGATACTAGTATTCATTTCCTTATTTACAAAGCTGGGAAGTTAGTAGCCTCCCAAAGCCTGAGTCTCAAGAAAGAAATCCCTCTTTCCTTCATCCCTGGCCAAATTCTTCTACCAGCTAAAACATTCCAGTAGAGTAAAACCTTGGTATATGGCATTTGTGTGGAATGGGGGTTGCCAGTTAACCAAACACACCAGATATGGAGGCTTATTGTTGTGCCTCACCCTCTACCCAGAGGAATCTGCAGTAACTAAACCCCATCTTCTTGGGAATAACGTGTTGACAACCCTTCCCCTGAACCATGCAGCCATCCTATGCAGTAGGCAGACAAGCAGGCCACCTACCCAGGAGCCCTCTGGCAGAGCTGTATCCTGACATATCAAGGTATGCTAAGGCTGAGGGAGGCATGCAAGGATCTTGGCAGCACTGACTGTCTGAAGTCCAGCAGTGGCTGGGCGTAACAAACTGGCCAGCAGGAGTGGGCACATGCATGGCCAAAGACATGGGTATGGTGGCCAAGCAGGAGCAGCTTGCATTCTGAGTGATGCCAGTTAACTAACATAGTGCTGGATATCAGAGCTTCTAGTATACCCCCCGTTTCCAAAATAGTCTGGGTCCAATTGCCTCTGTCATCCTACACTTCGTCTCTTGGGATAGCTAAAGGTGAAGGTTTCCCTTGCTCAAAAGCTAGTCGAATCCAACTCTAGGGAGTGGTGCTCATCTCCATTTCCAAGCCAAAGAGCCAGCACTGTCTGAAGATGTTTCTGTACTCATGTGGCCAGCATGACTAAACACTGAGGCACATGGAACGTTGTTACCTTCCTACTTGAAAGTTCTTGCTTTTGAACTGCTAGGCTGGCAGGAGCTGGGATTGGAGATGGGAGCTCACTCCGTCATGCGGCACTAGGGTCTTGAACTGCCGAACTACAGACCTTCCGGTCTGCAGTTCATCGTCTTAACCTCTAGCTCTCTTGAATAATTCAGTCTTGCATTGTTTGCAGGAAGCCAGGAGAGTGGAAGCCTTCCTGACTTCCTCAGATAGGCCACTCAGTAAGACAGGAGCCACAACAAAAAAGGCACGTGCACAGGCAGTTGTTGATTTTGCCCATTTACAGGTTGACACCTACAGAGCTGTGGTGGCTCAAGTGGTTAAGATGCTGAACTGCAGGCTGTGGAAGGTCGGTAGTTCAGCAGTTCGAGAACCGAGTGTGCCGCATGACAGAGTGAGCTCCCGTCTCTCGTTCCAGCTCCTGCCAACCTAGCAGTTCGAAAGCAAGAAATTGCAAGTAGATAAATAGGTACCACTTCGGTGGGAAGGTAACAGCGTTCCGTGCACCTTGGTGTTTAGTCATGCCGGCCACATGACCACGGAAACGTCTTCGGACAGCGCTGGCTCTTCGGCTTTGAAACGGAGATGAGCACCGCAACCCTAGAGTCGGACTCGACTGGCTTTCGAGCACGGGAACCTTTACCTACAGAAAACGTTGCTCAGATGAGCCAAGCTGTTGTGCCAGTGCATAGGGGAAGAGATGGTCTTGCAGATATGAGGGTTCAAGGCCATGAAGGGCTTCGTGTGTGTGATAACCAGTACCTTAAATTGAGCCCATTAACTGCTGGGCAGCCAGTGGAGTGACTGTAGAATAGGAGTAATATGCATGCTCCATCTAGCTCCTGATAATAGCTGCTTGCCTCTCAACTGAGAGGATTTAAGCTAGCCTCTTGGCATCAGCAGGTATCAAACATTTTCCCACCCAAACTGAATTGTACCTTGGTT